TTGTTTGTCGTGTGTTTTAATGCATTATATTTTTAAAGGTGAAACAATGCATTATTACTGCGATTGCAATTATTCATGACATCATACAATGCATTATAATTAATGCATTAAAATATTTTTATAATGCATTATATGTGTTACCAATATTCAAGCATAAAATCAGTTTTATTTTGATACATTTATCAGAAAATGAGACTAATTATCATATGCCATTTTGCTTCTCAGGTATCTTAAATTAGGAATGTTTCAATATTTTTTTACAGGAAAACAATAAAAATGCAAGAGTAAGACACTTTTTTTTTTTTTTGCAGTGTAAATGCATGTCTGTTTGCATACGTATTTAGTGTTTTTTTCCTCCCTAAAAGGTGTTGACTTGAAGAATAAAGATTCACTGTTACATTATTATTCTTGTTTAGCATTACTTATCATTTGACTCTCAATAATGTAGCTCTGTATTACAATAAAGCCAGTGAGAAGCCTTCAGGTCCAGTGAAGGAGACTGAAGCTCAAGCAGCTGTTCTGACGAAGGTGGAAAACCATCTGACGTCCAGCAAGACTAAATGACGCTTTAGAGATGTGTAGCAAACTTTAGGGAGGAACGAGACATAAATTTGAGACGTGTGACTCAGAAACAGCTGCTTTTCCACTTGGACTCTCTCTTTTTCCCCTTATTATCCATAAATCCATGATTCTCAAACTATCAGAACTCTTCAGGCTGGTTTAGACATGAACCTGTGAGAGGTGTGAGCTCATTTCTTTCTCATATAATGAGAAATATAAAATAGTGCAACCGTTTTTAGTAAATGTATGTTTTATTGCTCTGCATATGGAACTGAGAAAACCGTATAAACCAGTTACAACAGACTATAATAAACCATGACGGCTGTAGTCATCGCCATTACTTCAAGTCCAGGCCAGCTGTGCTCGAGCGGCTGTTTATAAATCATTAAATATTAAGAGAAATGCACTCTGGGAATGGAAAAGGAGAAATAGGTCATAAGCGAGGAGGAGTGGAGTCCCTGCGGAGCGGTTGACTGTAAAAGTCAAGCTTCTGCCAGTTATTACCTTCTCATCCTCCCTTAGTTTGTCCTTAATTACGAAGACGTCTGGAAATAACTCGAAATGAATGAAATTCAAGGTAATTCAGCAGGTCCTGTCAACATGCTTGTAATACTTTTACAGAAAACTGTAAAAATGGTGCAGCCACTGAATAAAAAAAAAAAAATTGCAACATTTTATCTCATAATTCATAATTCAATAGCAATTCTGACGTTTTCTTGCAATTGCGAGTTTCTATCACGTAATTCAGAGAAAAAACTCAGTTAGAGAAAAAAGTCAGAATTATGAGATAAAAAGTTGCAATTAGCATTGTTTTTTAATTCAGTGCAAACGGGCTTCATTAGTTAACTGGTTAACATCACATTATATGTAATTTTACTGTAAACTACTGTCAAAAGTATGATTTTATTTCACATAAATAGATTTGTTTCTTATTTTTGTTTTTAGTAATGTACATTAGGGTGTTTTGTTCTATTTAGTTAATGTTTATTGTCTATATACGAGTATCAGTGATGATTTATGGACAAGCCACTTACGTGACTTTCTGTTTTATTACCTATACTCAAAAAATATTTATGCTTAAATTTAGGATTTATGCATTTGAATTGCATATAACATTTCCATGCATTTAGATTATGCAGTTTTAACAAACAAAAAATAAACTTAATGTGATGCATATTTGTCATTCATACATAAATGTAAGAAAATCTGAAAATCATGTGTTGAGTTTATTAAGTATGTATCTATGCATATTAACTATGCATATTATTATGCATTTATTTGTTTTATTTAAATGATGCTATTTTCAAAATGCATTTATTCAATCAGCATAAATCTGTTCATTGTGAAAACAATTATATTTATTCGGATAAAAGTATGAATATGGTTAAAATATGGCTATAGCTGTGGAACAAGCAATATTCAATTAGTTAAAACGTATGAGATTGAAAGAAATAGGATTTATTGATAAATATATATAAACCTGGTTACTGACTAACAAATATGCATCACATTAAGTTTAATATTTTGTTTATGTCAAAACGGTGTAATCCAAAATGCATGGAAATTCAAATACATCAATTTTGGGGTGGTTGCTAGGGTGTTGCTATGCGTTTGCCAGGATGCGGTTGCTAGGTAATCTCAAATCTCACCGGCACTTCAGGCATTAGCAGAAACGAGCCAAACTCTGCAAATTCCCTCTAAAGGTGGCGTCCCACTCAAAACATCTCGATTTGGGTCAGGGATGTCACACCTATAGCAGAGACAAAGCCACTGATAAAGCCACCTTTTCTTATGTCACATCCCCACCAGCTTGCCTGGAGCTGCGAAACAAGAGCCAAAGCGAATAACAATACATAAAGTGACCAAATAATGCAGCTGCACAAACAAAGCTCAGTATTTATCTTACTTGAAGAAATTACATAATATTCTCTTTTCATTAGTCATGCATATCTGACTGATCTGATTTTGCTGACAGTTGTTGACCAGTTAATTGCCTTTGCAATGATTCATCACAATCTTGCCTCAAATCTTTGGTCTAGACATGATGAACTTCAGACATTTTGGCCTTTTCTTTTCTTTTATATTCATAACACCAGCTGCACATTAATATTAAAGGAATAGTTCACCCAAAAATGTGTTCTCTCTCAGGTCATCAGAGATCAGGATGAGTTTGTTTCTTCATCAGATTTGGAGAAATGTAGCATTGCATCAGTGTCTCAGCAATGGATGCTCTGCAGTGAATGGGTGCCGTTACATTTCTCCAAATCTGATGAAGAAACAAACTCATCCTGATCTTAAATGGCCTTGAGGGTGATTTTCAGCACGTTCATTTTTGGCTGAACTATTATAGTGTAATATCAGTTCAAAATCATATTAATAAAAAACGTCACATGAGAAGAATGACTTAAAAATCATAATTAGTGCTGTCAATCGTGACCACCATACTATAGAGTTTAACATTTAAAAAAAACAAGGAAAAAAAACAACAACATTGAGGTGAGAAAATATACTGCATAGTAGAGTGTGCACTGGGCTTTATATATACTACTACAGCTGAAGTATTAGACAAACTAGTATAGTACGTGTTGTCATATCAAATTAGCAATACAATCTGACAATAATCATAAAAAATTAGCTCTTTAGCTAAAAACATGCACAAATTTGCTTTACCGTACAAGAAAATGTTTGTAAAAAATAAAGCACCATATGTTTACAAGTTACTAAAGAAGTATGAAAACAGTGTTTATTAAAAATGAAGCTGTCTATAAATAATAAAATAAAATTATGATATGGATTATTTTTTAGACAAATAATTTATTAAAGTAAATGAAAGATGATAAACAGCGAAGGCATAAACAGATCCAAATACAGATTAGTTTTTCTGTGTGAACCATATTAATTAATGTATTAAATCAGCTCTTGGCACAGTGTTGAGGTGAATACGAGTCACACTGACTTCATTTCACCACCGTTTCTCAACCTCAGAAGTGCAACATCATTGTTTCACATGTGGCAAAAAAAAAAAGCTTAATGTGCACTGGAAGGAATCCCTGACTTAATATAACAAAACATCTTCACTATATTTTCATGTTAGACAAGCATAGCTGTTAGTAGCGGTGTCTCAAAACTTGATAAAAACATTGTGTGCTCAGATGCAAAGACTACTGAAATCAAAGCTGAGCGAACGACTAAAAATACTTTCAATACCGAAAAGCACCAGCAAGTTCCATACGAATATGTAAAACTGTACCCAATATTATGCTGCATATTGAGCTTATTAGCTTAGCAGCATGCTAATGTTACAAAAACTGTGAGCACTGATGTCACAATGTATCTGTCACTCATGCAAAAGAAGCTGTATAGACATCTGTATTCATGCTCTCACTTGCAGCAGAAATTATGATCACATATGCAGTGCAGTGATTTAACCAAACTCCTATTTCATTCAAAAGATGTGCATGAGTGGCTGTTAAAGAAGTTAATATTAAAGAACAATTCAATGAGGGACCATTACAGTCAGGATGTTGACTTTTCTATTATTAACATACTTATTGTTTGAAATGAAAGAGAAAATGTCAGTAATTTCAAACAAAAGCATCTGTTAAATGAATGCATGTAAAATGTAAATGTAATGTGGAGGCATAAATCTGCAGGATGCTATGAATGAATAGGTAACACTTTACAAAAAAGTCCCATTAGTTAATGTCAGTTAATGCATTAACTATCAACGAGCAATGCATTTGTTTCAGTATTTATTCATCTTTGTTAACGTTAGTTAATACAACTATGCACTGCAAGTTCATGTTAGTTCAGGTCCATTAAATAATATTAACAGATACAAATTATTATTTTAATAAAGTATTAGTAAGTTATTAAATTAACTTCAACTTCAAATAATTTGGTAACACTTTACAATAAGGTTCATTAGTTAACAATAATTAACTGTATTAGTTAACATGAACTAAGCATGAACAATACTTCTACAACATTTATTGATCTTAGTTAATGTTAATTTCAACATTTACTAATACATTATTAAAATCAAAAGTTGTATTTGTTAACATTAGTTAATGCACTGTGAACTAACAATGAATAACTGTATAACTAACATTAACAAAGATTAACAAATACTGTGCCAAATGCATTGTTCATTGTAAGTTCATGTTAGTTAATACATTAACAAATGTTAACAAATGACACCTTATTGTAAAGTGTTACCAATAATTCAAAATCATATATTAATCTCAGCTGATGCTCACTAATGTAGATAGCAAACTGAACCTTATTGTTAAGCATTACCAATTAATTTAATCATGGTAAAATGTGTTAAATGGAGCTGATGCTTCTCGACGACTAAAAGCAAAATAGGCAAAATATTAAATAAACAAACAAGCATGTGTAGAGTTAAGTGAATTTTGCAGACAGTTTTATTGGTGCAAATTCCATGTGGGCCTGATTATCGGTTTACTTCCCAAGAGCATTAATGATGTCCGTTAACGAGTCTCCAGAGTAGCTTCATTTGAAGTGGATTAAAATATCACGCTTTCATATTTACAAGAGTCAGTAGAAAGTGTTCATATTTTTGTATGGACAGTCTAACGCAGTTCTTCGGGCTTGTCCGTAAAGTGAGTTTGCATCAAAACACATACACGTAAGTTGATCTGCTGTCGCTACCGACCACATTTTTGGCGGTGCACTTATAAACGCCATTGTCTCTGCTGGAAGGGTTCTGAATGACCAGTGAACCTTGCGGATGGAGATACTTGTTTCCATAAAGACGCGGCTGGACGCCAACCTTCAGCTGAAGACCGTCAGGCATTTCCCAAACCACCTCGGCTTTAGGTGTAGCGAGAGGAACGCAGTTTAACTGAACCGCCACTCCCGGACTAGCGTAAGTCACCGGCGCTGGCCCTTTGGTTATACGCGGCGGATACGCAATTACTATCACCGAAACCATCAGGCTGGACGATCCATGTTCATTAGTAGTTTGGCAGAGGTACATCCCCCTGTCGTAAACAGATGTCCTCTGGACAGTTAGAGTGCCGTTGTTTAGGACCGAATAGCGTCCGGTTGTCTGCGGCCTGGTTAGGACGACTCCGTTTGGTAGAGTCCAGGTAAGTCTGGGCAACGGGTGAGCACCGGACAAACAGTTGAGATGCAGATTCTCGCCGTTTATGATGCTGACGAGTGAGCTGTACTTGTTAGTGATTTCTGGTTTTCTGTTGGACTCCAACGTCACGGTTCGCTCTACATATCCGGCGCTGTTGCGCCCAATGCAGCGATACCATCCAACCTCTGAAATCGACGGGTCTTTAATGACCAACGTCCCATCAAGTCGATGATGGAAATGGAAAACACTGGTTCCCCTAAGAAGAGACGTCCCATTGGGGAGAATCCAAGTGATCTCTGGCGTTGGTTTTCCTTCTATGGAACAGTTTAGACTTAATATCCCATTGGTGAGTTGGACGGACTCCGTAGGCGAACTTCTCAACCGTGGCTTTTCAACACCTTCGGTCACCTCAAGTTGAACCTGGAGTTTGGCTTCTCCTCCTTCATTGCGTGCGATGCAAAGAAGCGCGACGGAATCGCTTATCCGCACAGAGTGAATGTCCAGCGTGCCGTTGCGATGGACCGTAATCCTCAAGCCATAGTACGGCGCAGGAAGCACGATGTTATTGGGAAACACCCACATGATCCTTGGAACAGGGTTTCCGTTTGCTCTGCAGTCTAAAAGCACACGCTGATCCTTCACGACAGTTTTACGGACAATCTCTGAACTCTCGAATCCATTGATGACCGGCGTTGACACAAGGACTTCAACGTGGACGACTTTCTTGTCAGTTCCCGCAATGTTCCTGGCCGAGCAAGTATAATTTCCGGAATCAAACCTTTGGATTTTTTGAATGTGCAAAGTGGCATTGTTGGCGATCTGGTACTTGTTGGATAATGGCACTATGGCGCGATGAGCCGGAGACGTCCATGTGATGGTGGGAGTCGGTTCTCCTTTGGCGCTGCAATTGAGGACGGCTGTTTCCCCAAAACGAACTTTGACGACACTGTAAACGTTGTTTTGGATGATCGGTGCATCCGCCACCACCTTGATATGAACCTTCATTTCATCTTTCCCAATCCGATTCTCGGCGTAGCACGTGTAGTCGCCTTCCTCCTTCATTCCGACTTTGTTTAAATACAGAGTACCATTATCAAACATCACGTATCTCTTGGTGCGGACCCAGCTGTGATCAGATTGTGGGATGCCGTTTACCATGGTACCGTCCGGAAGACTCCACGTGATTTCTGGGTTGGGAAGACCTGAAGCGACGCAGTCCACTTTCAGCTCTCCTCCGTACAACACCTCGTGATCGCTCAGTGACTTGTGGTCGATTTTAGCCGCTTTCATCATCACGTTGACTTTAAGGAGAACGTAGTCATCGCCCATTTTGTTTCTGGCCACACAGAGATAGTCGCCCTCATCCTTCTCGGTCACTGACGTGATGGTGAGCGTGCCGTTGCCGAACACTTTCATTCTGCGATCAAAGCTGAAACGAGCGATAAAGAGAGACAGGTTACATTCTGATAGCCATGATGACAGTAAATGTATCATTTATTAAAGGACTCATGTGAGGAATCAAATTTTCCTTGATCTTTTGTGATTAAAGTGCAATAAAAAAATAACTTTCAGAACTCAAAACGTACTTCCAGTGGAAAAAGTAGCAATTATTGAAACGAAAATGTAAAAATGGCTCATTCTGAAATCATTTGTTAAAGGGCTCATTTCACGTTTGCTTGTTTAATGCCATGCCAGGTTTTTTTTTTTTTGGCTACTGTCATGGCAAAAACCATACTTGAGCTATTAAAAGCTGGAACAGAACTTAAAACTCTTTCCCTGCCATTGACAGAATTTTCCGTCTTTCTGTGTTTTCACTGTTATACTGTAGGAGGCGCTTTTACACATCTTCTGAAAGAGTACTGAATCTCTGGATCAAAACAAGGTGAAGAAGAAGCAGAAACAAGTGCTCGCATATGTAAGCAGATGCATATGTAAAATAACGTGATCATCCAACATTGCACAGCATATAAATCAAAACTGTCTAGCATTACCAAATGAAATGAAGACACAGAAATAGGGTTGGGTACCGAAACCCGTACCTATGTAACCGGTATGTACTAGAACCAAATCAGAACGCAGATTTCGGTGCCACTTAAATGCCTGAGTGATTGATTGAAATATTTGTCCTGGCTCTCCGAAATGGACGTAAGAAGCATGGGCGTCGCTAGGCCATTTTTAGCAGGGTTATAGCGATTAGCTCCATAAACTGTACACATATTCGTGATCGCCTCAGAGTCAGTCCCCTTTAAATTTCATATGAAAAAGTCTAGTGGTGAAAGAGTTTAGATCCATTCTTTCCTACAAATTATAAAACTAAATTTGGAGTAACTTGTGTTTGACAGACAACGAGCTCTGGTTCATATCACGATAGATGACTTTAAGAACTCAAAACATCATTCCAGTGAAACTAAACAAAAATGACTCATTCTGAATCCTTTATTTCTAGTGTCAGAAACCACAAATATAAGCAAATGACTGCCCACATTTACACGTCAACTATGCCTATCTGTACATCTCTAAAGTTGCACATATATAAAATAATTGATGTTTTAGTAGCACCATATGACGTTTTCTCTAAGCGTAGCAAAAAATGCAAGTGTGCCAAAACGTTTCCATAAACATCGTAAGCCAAAGCAGATCATACAGACCACTGGTGTCAATGGTTTCTACAATCAACTATTGCTTATGACGCAAAAAATTGTTGATTCAGAACTATGTTTCCTTCCTTGCATTTGATTAATGTCATTTTTGTCTTCCCTCTGTATCCATTTATTTTCTTCTGATTTGCCTGTCCTCTGTAATTAATTACACTTCATGTTGTTTTGCTATTTGGTTAATCATGCTCTAGTGTATATGGAGATAATTAAAATAATTTCAGAAGGCCAGACACAGTAAAATCCATAAGTGTGGTGTTTTTTCACCATTTTAAATAATTCAGTTTTCAATTATTCAGTTTTCATCAAGCTCTGCATTAGATTGTGACTGAAAAGTGAATTTAGATCCACGTTTCTAAACACTAAATAGGCATTGCTGACATGCTAATCAACAAAAACGTAATTCCTTATTAAACAACCCCTTCAATTAACCATTACCTGTAATATGCATCAACCAGTTTTTTAGACGGCGTCCTCCAGATGATCCTGGGATTGGGGCTTCCAGTGGCCGAACAGTTGAGACTCAACTGGCCTCCGTAGCGGACATCAGTACTGTGTGCAGAAGTGGACATGATTCTGGCGGTAGTGGAGTGCCTCTGCACCTGCAGATTCACAGTCCTTTTAGCAACTCCCACCGAATTCACAGCCACGCATTGATAATTCCCAGCATCCTTCTCTGTAGGTTTACGAATAAACAGCGTCCCGTTGGGGAAAACGAACAAATTGCCATTGACGAACTGTGAAGGGCGAAGCTGTGCGCCGGTGAACGTGACCCATCGGACGGCCGGACCGGGCGCGCCTTTAGCGGTGCAGTGCATGAACGCTGATTGGCCATCAGAGATGGTGTGGTTCTCCCAGAGCTGCTCTTGGATTGTGGGAGGCAAGGCTGCGATTTGAAGCCTCACGGAAAGCATGTCGGCTCCAGCGGCGTTGCTCGCTATGCATTTGTAGATGCCTTTGTCCAGGTAATTGGTGTTTTTGACTTGAAGCGTTCCATTGGTGAAGAGCACGACCTTCTGTTCTCTGTTACTAACTGCTCGCACCACCGATCGATCCGGAAGCACCCAGCTGATGTTTGGGATGGGGAGGCCTTGTGCTTGGCATTCCAAGAGTGCACTGTTTCCGAGATACACCGTCATGTCTTTATGACGTGGAAGCATCATCTTGGGCGCGTGGGCCAACACCACAAGGGTCACCATCAGCTTATCAATGCCGTGTGGATTGCGAGCGCTGCACAGATACTGCCCGCGGTCCTGAAGCTGAATGTTGTGGATGACAAAAGTGCCGTTGGACTGTACCTCAAACCGCTGGACTCTGGTATTGGCTGACATGACGGCTCCTGCGGAAAATAAAAAACAAATAAGAGAACAAATGTGTCAAATTAATAAAAAATAAACAGAGTTTAGAAATATGTTATAAATTTGTAGGCACAGAGGTTGTACAAAAACAACAATAAAATTGTTAGGTTTTCATAATATCTGCCTAGTATAAAATATATTTCATATAATAACATATAATATCTTTAAATTTTAATATTATATTTTTGATATGTATAAATGGTGTATGCCAATTAGTAAAGTAGTACAGATAGAGAGAGAATATAAGATATATGAACATATAAAAACAAAAGTGTCAAATTAATATATGTATGTAAGAGAGAGAGAGAGAGAGAGAGAGAGAGAAAAATTATCTTCTATTGTAAACTATATCAAGATTACATTCGGCTTATGCATTGAAATTATACTCCAGTTCCTGAATGTGTTGTAACTGTAACTTCTTGTCATGTCATCATGTCATATGTGAGTTACCTGTGGAGACTTTGGTCCAGGTCAGGAGGGGTTTCGGCTCCCCCACAGAATCACATGGTAACTGCACATCTGTCCCAGCATTCACAGTGACTGTGTGGAGTTTGGCAGCAGTGATCCTGGGTCTCATTTGGAGGGTAGGAAGAGTTTGTGGTCCTTGAGAAAGCAGAACTGCACTCGATTGTCCGTTGACTGGTTCATCGATCTGACTTTGGCTGTTTGGCTGCGTGGTGCTCGACGCAGTTGTGCGACTCGAGGTGGCAGATTGAGCAGTCAATATCTTAGGTGTTGTAGTTGATCTGACGTTGTTGAGAGAGTTTAATTCCACAGGTGAGGTGGTGACGGAAGGGGTTCTGATAATATTAGGTCTAATATTACCAGAGGGATTTCTACTGTTATAGTACGGATACCTGTGGTTAGTGCTGGGAAATCTTCCCCTGTGCCTGGAATCAATGTAGTTCGTTCCAGGATTCCTTGAGTAAAATGGGATTCTATTGTCTGGTAAGGGATAACTGGGTGTTAACTTTAGAGCAGGTGTAGTAGTAGCAGCTGTCGACGGTGTAGTAGATGGTGTTGTTGTTCCAATGAGTTGGGTCGTAATGGGAATTATGGCTGTAGTTACTGGAAATGTAATTGTAGGAAAAGTATTCAGTGATGTTGAAGGAACAATCAAAGGTTCATCAAGTTCCTGGACTATCCTTTCCCTTTGGTCTTGCTTAGAAACAGAGTTTGGTTGTAGGAAGTAAATCTCATTGGTTTGAGGTGGTGAACTTGTGGGTAAAGACTTGGTTTGTGTCCCTAAAGATATTATGGATTGTTTAAGTGTCTCTGGTGTTGAGGGAAGAGATAACTGGTTGCGAATCAATTCTTCTTCTTTAAAGCTTTCATTTGGTTGTGAAAGTGGGTAGTCTTGGGGTTGTGGCATGGAGGTGACTACAGATTCTACTCTAGAACTTACTTCCAACGTATCGTTCTCTCTTTGAACATTGCTAAAGTGTGATTCAGGTAAGTGGAAGACTTCCAGCCCATCTGTGTCCAAAGTAAAGCTGATCTCTGTTGGATGAATCTCTTTGTTGGCCTTTGGAAACACTGTTGAAAGTGTGCCTGTGAACTCCTGCCGAGCAGCTGTCAGTGGGACGGTTTCGACGCCAGGTTGAGATGTTGGATCTACACTCGTGGGAACCAAGTACTCATCCATCTCCTCTGCAGATGCAATGCTTCCGTCCTCTTCCTGCTCAAAAGAAGGGATGTCTTCATTTTCAAGCCCTGATGTTGTGCTCGTGGGGTGAGACGTGGAGGGGCTTCTGGAGTTTGTCACCCCTTGAACTTGTAGGAAATTGTTTGCCTTCACTTTGGGGATTTCTGAGTCATCCGGGAGGGAGATGGTATCTTCCTCATTGACGGCATTCGGTAATTCCCTCGGCACAGTAGGATAAATGGGAGTAGTAGTCAGATATTCAGACGTGCTTCCAGCTAAAGTTGTGGAGTAAATGTGAGTGGTTTCTGGGATAGTTGATTGGACTGACATGCTTTCAGCTGGATTTGAGGAATAAATGAGAGCAGTGTTTGTAGAAGTTGAATGGCTCAATCTGCCTCTAGATGTGGTTCTGGAGTAAACGTGAGCAGTAGTTGTAGTAGCTGGATGGATCATTGCATCTTCACCTGGGTTTGTGGGATCAGCTTTCAAAGTTACAGTTTGACCATGAACTCCTACACCTGTAGATGTTGACCATGGTCTTCTTGTAGGAAGCTTTGAGAACGGCCGTCTTAATTTTATTCGTCGTCTACTTTCAAATCTGCGCCTGGAGCTCCAGTGATCTTTTGCTCTCGACCGCGCTGAACTTGGTGGGCTAATGCTGCCGGTTGATGTGGTTGCAAACGCAGTGCTGTCAGGGTTTCCAGAAACAAAACCCCCAATCTGTGACTGGACGCCGGTCTTTCCGGGGAATTTAAGCTCATTTTCTTTCACAGACTCCGGTTTGATGACAGACCGGGAATATACTTGGTTATTTTCAGCACTTATGGTGCTCACATGCCCTCTTTCTACAACGTTCACCTCTGTCATAACATAATGGGGTCCAGATGTGGGATTTGAGATGTAAGGCACCTCCTCTGAGCTAGTTTGTAATTCTGGAGGAGCCGTTAGGTACATGTTATTATTTTGCGCCTCAATATGAGGTGTAATTGCACGCGTGTGGTAAATATCCGTTTGGTGTGGAGTGCTGAAAGTGTTTGATTCTTCCTGTGGACTGGAGTCACCAGAAGAACTCTCAATGTTGTCAATCGACCCTGGATGATCTACATTCATCATCTGTAGACTTTTCTCTGCTGTGCCATGCTGGACAATGTTAATTGATGAGTTCTTTGGAGAGGTTTTCTCACGGATTTTGGCCAAAAGAACAGCCCATTTCTGAGGATATATTTTGTTCCTGGTATTAACAGTTCTTTGGTTTGTTAAGCCAGTTCTGTTTGGTTGTCCATGCATGCCCTTTCTATTGGGCTGCCTACGGCGGATGTTGCCAAAAGAACGTCCTTGTGTTCTTGCATTTGGACCCCTCCTTCGATTAATAAAGCTTCTGTTTGGTACTATTCTTTCTTGAGTTTCATCTCCAGAAGCTTCTTCCGCATCCTCCAAATAGGCTTTTACCTTAGTGGACACTCCCGCGGCAGACTGCGGTCTGATGGGATACTGTCGGAGAGGTTGGATTCCTTTCCGCCTCATAACAGTTAGTTTAGTGGCCAGTACATCCACACCATGCTGGTTCATAGCGACACATTTGTGATATCCATTATTGTTAAGCTGACTATACGGAATGAACAAAGTCCCGTTGGAAAAGACTAAAGCCCTGGATGTATTGGCTTTGGCATTCAGTACACTGCCATCTGGAAATATCCAATTCACCACAGCGTCTGGAGTTGCCGTAGTAAGACAGGGCAAAGATGCAGACTCGCCAACAAACTTTGTTAAAGCGTTTCCAAATTCTTCACCTGGAAGCGGGGTTGAGGACTCTATAACGGATAAACGGAAAGGCAGAACATCGATATCTCTTGCAACCTCAGCAACGCAATAATAAACTCCAGAGTCTCTGTGCTCGACAGATTTAATATGAAGTTTGCCACTGCTAGAAACGGTCACTCTGTCGGTCGAGCTGAACGCAGCTTTAATCTGCGACCCGTCGGGCGCCATCCATCGAACGGCTGCGTTTCCAGAGCTTTGCACACGGCAGCCCATTTCAACCGTACCACCCACAACAGAACTGAAGCTCGTCTGGGTTTTATTGTCATGCTCAATCATGACCCAAGATCTGATGGGCTCCTTGTCTGTAGTGGTAGTCAAATGAGTGTTAAGAATGAGTCTCACACTCTTGGAGGAGGAATAAGGCCTGTTTAACTTGATGTTCATGAAAGACTGCATGAGCCATGATGGATGGGCTAAAACACTGGCTCGGACACCAGTATAAAAGTAAGCATCCTTTTCAATGTCCTGTCTGTATCTGTAGCTCAGCTCCGGCTCTCTGCTTAGCATGATTTCTCTTCGTAGATGCACAGACACTTCACTGTAGTACGCAAGAAGCCTCCAAAAGCTTTCATAGTTGTCTCTGTCCACAGGACATTCCAGGTCAAAGAAAAGAGTCACGTTAGCAGCGATCTCCAGAGATTTTGTATAATTCCAACTGATTTTAGTGGAATCTCTTGGTTCAAGTATTTGGCAGATCAAGTCCACTTTAGTCCCATGCTCGTCGGATAAACCAAGGGAGATGTTTCCAAACGGTGGTTTGATCCTGTCGATGGGCAGGAGTTCACTCATGTTATCCTCGTGTGAGACATTCTTTCCTGGAGAGCTGATAGCTGGTCCAAAGCAGACAAACTCTTTGAGATCTGAGATTTCTTGTCCTTTAAGGTGTTTTGGAGATGCACATAGTGGACAGAGCTGACCGCTGGAAAACGATCTGTCCTTTTTGCATTTCATCACCCCTAGGAAATGAAACAAATCCAGACTTTAGAAGACAGAATTTGTTCTTCACTCAGTGTTCTAAATATTCAAAAATCTCTAGTTTTGATCTTTTCAAAATTTTTAAAGAAAGAAAGAAAAAAAGACAAACAAAAGCAGATACATTTTTCACCTAAAATAATTTTCTAAAAAAAATATAAATACTAAACATACGTGTTTATTATACACTACTATTCAAAAGTTTGGGATCAGTAATGTTTTTCAAAGAAGTCTCTTCTGCTCATCAAGGCTGCATTTATTTGATCAAAAATACAGTAAAGACAGTAAAATTGTGAAATATTATTACAATTTAAAATAACTGTTTTCTATGTTAATATTTGTTAAACTGTAATTTATTTCTGTGATGCGCAGCTGTATTTTCAGCATCATTACTCCAGTCTTCAGTGTCACATGATCTTCAGAATCATAATAATATGCTGATTTATTATCAATGTTGAAACCTGTGATACTTTTTTTCAGGATTCTGTTTAATAAAAAGTTGAAAAGAGCAGCATTTATTCAAAATATAATTTATTTTGTAACAATATATATAGTAAAAGTCTTTACTATCACTTTTTATCAATTTAACATATCTTTGCTGAATAAAAGTATTAATTTCTTTAAAAAAAGAACGAAAAAAAAAATACTAACCCCAAAATTTTGAACAGCAGTGAATATTATTACAAAAGATTTCTATTTTGAATAAATTCTGTTTTTAAAATTATTTTTATTAATCAAAGAATCCTGACAAATGTATGACAGGTTCCAAAGAAAAAATATTTTTTGGAACCGCAAAAACGGTTTTTAACACTGATAATAAATCAGCATATTAGAATGATTTCTGAAGATCATGTGACACTGAAGACTGGAGTAATGATGCTGAAAATACAGCTTTGATCACAGAAATAAATTACAGTTTAAAAGTATATTAATATAGAAAAGTGTTATTTTAAATTGCAATAATATTTCACAATAGTACTGTTTTTTTATGCACACATAAAAATATGTCTTTTATGATAATAGAAGTTCAGAAGATTTTCTTCTTTATTAAAATTGAATTGTGACCAATTTACATACTGAATGTGATCGGCTGCATTTTATTTGCACAGAACCAAAGCCCACAAACTGAACTGACCTCAAACTTCAACACTATTCTGCTGCACAAATTGCTTCAAATCTAGTTTATATTGATCGGATAATAGTGCGATGATCATTTTGAAGCACCTGAATTTCGCACGCTCCAGTCCTGTAACCAGCTCATCCGGCAGTCACAGCTCCACGGGTTTGCGTATAAGAAGAGGTTCTCCAGCTGCGGCATGCTCTCCAGCATGTTTCTGGGCAGCGAGCTGAGGAGGTTTTCAGAGAGGTACTATTTTGAATAAATTCTGTTTTTTAAATTATTTTTATTAATCAAAGAATCCTGACAAATGTATGACAGGTTCCAAAAAAAAAATATTTTTTGGAACCGCAAAAACGGTTTTTAACACTGATAATAAATCAGCATATTAGAATGATTTCTGAAGATCATGTGACACTGAAGACTGGAGTAATGATGCTGAAAATACAGCTTTGATCACAGAAATAAATTACAGTTTAAAAGTATATTAATATAGAAAAGTGTTATTTTAAATTGCAATAATATTTCACAATAGTACTGTTTTTTTATGCACACATAAAAATATGTCTTTTATGATAATAGAAGTTCAGAAGATTTTCTTCTTTATTAAAATTTAATTGTGACCAATTTACATACTGAATGTGATCGGCTGCATTTTATTTGCACAGAACCAAAGCCCACAAACTGAACTGACCTCAAACTTCAACACTATTCTGCTGCACAAATTGCTTCAAATCTAGTTTATACTGATCGGATAATAGTGCGATGATCATTTTGAAGCACCTGAATTTCGCACGCTCCAGTCCTGTAACCAGCTCATCCGGCAGTCACAGCTCCACGGGTTTGCGTATAAGAAGAGGTTCTCCAGCTGCGGCATGCTCTCCAGCATGTTTCTGGGCAGCGAGCTGAGGAGGTTTTCAGAGAGGTACAGATGCTTCAGGGTGGAGACGTGGAAACGCCGCAGCAGCGAGAACGTGCTGAAAGTAGCAGGATGGAGCTTTTGCAGATTGTTGGCCTCTAGATGGAGCAGACGCAGTGAGGTAAGCCCACTGAACGCGTCCGGGTGGATGAACTCGATGCGGTTGTGGTCCAGATGTAGTCTAATCAGGGCCGTCAAACCAGAGAAGGTGTGACCGGTAATGACTCTCAGTTTGTTGTAGCTCATTTTTAAAACCTGCAGGACAAGCCAAGCCAACAGAGTCTGTTTAATATTACATCAGTGTATCCTCCAGCTGCATTCTTCCTATATTTACCTATCTAAGTCACTTTTACTTAAGCTAGAGCTCATTGATTAGATCTACATGAAGGACTAGCGTGCTTCACCAGACGACTGTGATTTTACCTGTAAAGAAACAAGATCCTGAAGAGCAGCATCTGGTATTTTCTGCACGTTGTTGCCGTGCATCATGAGCAGCTCTAGTTTTCGAAGACCAGCAAAGGAGACGTCTGTGATGTGATTTATAGTGTTAAACCTGTTAGAGAGCAAATTGTTACCAATACTGTTTTCAGCATAAACTTGGGTTTATTTCTTTATGCTGAAGTGAAAAAAAAATCACCATTGTATATTACAAACAGTGTTGGCTCTTTGACAAATTGTTTTCGCCCCTCTTTTGTAAGTCACTCTGAATAAAACGTCTACTAAATGCATAAGTCAGAAGTCAGAAAGAGCTTTATTGCCAAGTTTGCACATATGAGGAATTTGGTTTGGTGACAGAAGCTTCCAGTACACAGAGACAACAGATAATAAAAAAAATAAAGATATATGAATAACATCTGTTTTTGAGAAACAAAAACCAGGAAAAACTAACAAAAACTATACAACCCCTGCTGGAAAAAACAGCTAAAACCAGCCTAAGCTGGTTAGCTGGTTTAAGCTGGTTGTCCAGCCTGGTCATAGCTGGTCAGCAGACTGGTTTTAGAGGGGTTTTGGCCACTTTTTTAGCTGGTCAGGCTGTGAGACCAGCTAAAACCAGCTAAGAGCAGCCAACCAGCTAAGACTGGTTTTAGTTGTTTTTTTTTTCAGCAAACTAGAGCTCCACACCGAGGCAGCCATACGCAACACCATATTGAGTAATAAGTATAAATATATTATAAATATAAATGCTTAATTTTTATGTACATGTATATACTATGGAAGGCCGGGGCTAGTTGTCACATGGAGAAGTTGTCTCTAGGTCTATTATATCTCAGCAACTATAAGATTTTAAGCAAAGTCACATGGTACAAATGCTTATTTTCTCTCTAACAGTGGTTTTAAATAATGATTTCAAACATATAGTTGACAACTGTCTAAATTATGTATTTCTTTATTAAAGCCAGGTTTGTAAGACTTATGATTTTTACATACATGAAAGACCCGAGATTTTGCTTGAACAGCACTAGCCTTAATTTCTTCAGTAAATCTAATAATTGCTTTATTTTAAATTTTGCTGTAAGACTATACTAGGCAGTCAAATTGTGACAACTTACCCCATATAGTGTCAATGAGCGCCACATTAACTGTATCTTTTTTCCTAGTCAATAATAGTGAGCATAGTTTCTGAAATCAAGACATTAATGTCCGAGTCTGTTAAGAAATTGGCTTTTAAATGTTTAAAAAAAGTATAAAGACAGTTCATATTTAATAATCAGATGAGAACAAAATCTGAATTGAGCTTGATAATGTGATAATGACACTAATCTTCACAACATCGAGAGTTATTGAAGTGAATTGAGTTGAATATTGTCTTCTGTGGAGCTGCTATAATTAGTTTCATAACTTATCAATTTTTCTGTTAAATTACTGTGCAGCTGCTTTGAAACAATCCGTATTGTATAAAGCGCAATTTAAATAAACGTGACTTGACTGAAAAAACTCACTGTAAGAAATATTCACAAGTGTGCAAACTCTAATATTTCAGATGCATGATCCTATCATAAACCTCCAGTTTCTGCCGTGCATTACATAATCAGCAGTGATTTACCCAAAGTTGATGCGCTGGACTTGTTTGGAGATGCCTGCGGGAACGGCCCCGAGCGCACGGAAGGTGCAGTGCACTTCAGCGGGAACAGAGCAGGCGCACAACCGCGGACAAACACTGCCGGAGCCCCGAAAACTGACCAGCAGCATCAGAATCAGCATCAGCCCGAAGCACGAAGAGCCCATGATGCCCGTGAGATCACGCACTTCTGAAGCCTTCACGTCCCTCTAGCGCTGAAACACAGAATTACACCTCACACACAGCCAACAGGTGTTCACAAAAACATTTACACGCATGCATTTGGCAGACGCGTTTATTTGAAGTGACTTGCATTGCATTTAAGGTTTACAGCTGATCCGTTCATGCATTCACTGGGAATCGAACCCATGCAAGCACACATGCAAGCACACTCAAATACATTTTAATACACTTTCTATCATAATTTGGAACATCTATGGAATCAGTCACTATAGGATAAACTTTATTATATTGTTTTGTTTTTTTCCGCACAGTTAATTCAGCAGGATCTTGTTTGACTCAAGATCTTAAGGATTAGTTCCAAATTATGTTAGAATTCCTTTTGCATTCCTTAAGAATATCTTAAAACTCATTTCAAAATTTCATTAAGAATTAAATTAAGCCAACATGAAGCCAAATAAAAGAGGCCAACCATCCACATCAATGATTAAAGACCGAATGCATGAAGAAATGCATAATAATTTCGATATACAATGAGTTCAGAGCAAGCAAGAGTGGCGTAAAATTTATGTACATATATATATATATATATATATACTTACCTTATAGAGCTGTTTTACCTGACTTAACCCTTAATTATAATTTTTTTTTGTATAAATTAATGCATTTAGGTTGATTCAGCAATCTTAAATAATATTTTTGACTTGAATACAACTAATTAATTTAGATATTACCATTTTCAGGTTACAATTTTTTTTCAGCATACATTGCAATTGGTTAAAAAGGGTAATACATTAAATTAATTGTATTTATGAATAAACATATATAAATCAAATGTAATCATAAATGCATATTTAAAAATATGATTATATATTATTATTATATTAGTACAACCAGAACCAAGAAAATAATTTTAATGTTATGTTTTCACTTCAAACCACTGAGCCATGGATTCTTAGAAAATGAAACGGAATGAAATGAAATTAAACTCACCTTGATGTTCTTGTGAATGGCTGCCTTTCGAGCCTTCATTTCTCACTTAGATCAGCTTCACATAGAATACACTAGAATTGCACAGCATCCTTTTTTAAATGATCACCAGGTTTTCAGACTTCATAAACGCAACAGAACTAAATAGCAGCAAGTAAAAAAACATCTGACTATAAAAGCAGAGCAAAACAGGTTTCTTTTTCAAAGGCTCATATGATGAATAAACTCCATGAGGATCCCGTTAGGTGCTTCACTGTCTGCACAGGAACTCAGAGTAGAGCTGGAGAAAAGTGATTGTGAAAGCCAAGCTTGAGTAAGGAGGAGCTAAACCGAGAAAACCCCCTCAGATCAGCGGCCCTCCTCTAAAAACACTTCGTTCAGCTGCTCTGTTTGATGCCACTGTGTAAAAACACCCGTCTGCTGCTGCTGCTACTGAAAATGATCAGTTAAACAATACAGACACAGATTGCACAGACAAACATGTTTTTATTTTGAGGAATTTTGGAGTTTGTTTTAAGGCAGTTGCATTATATCATAACACTCAAATGGAAACGATTTCGTTTTCATGCATAAAATCAAACACAATCAGATTTTTTAAATGATCATTTGTAGGTAACACTTTAGAAATAAGGTCAAATTGATTCATGCTAGTTAATGCATTAAAAACACATTTAAAATGAGCAATACATTTATTATTCATTTTGAGGAATTTGAGGCAACTGCACTGGATCATAACACTCAAATGGAAACAAATTTCGTTTTAATGCATAAAATCTAACAAATTCATTTAAAACATCAATATGCATAGCCAATAACTTGATTCGAGTTAGCAACATTGTCATGATTTTAAAGTCTGTTACACCACAGTCTATTTTAAATCTGTCTCCCGACCATCTGCAATCCGAGACCATTCTTTACTATAAATAATTATGCCAAAGAATGAACTATTTGTCACTATTTGTTTCAAACACCAAAAGCATTTGTGGCAATTTTCAAATGGAAGGTCAAAATTAAAGTATGTACTGTACTGATGCATGAAAAGCTTGATTCTGCACCACATCTGATCAACTGTGTGTAATGTGCGGCTGTAGTTGTTTAGTCAGCGGTTCAGTAAACGGTTCTTGGTGGTCCTGGTCCAGCACTGATTCAAAGACTGAGTTAAAAATACCTTGGACTGCTGCTTTTATTGGCTATTTTACACAACAACAACAACAACAACAGAGCTGTGTGTTAAATCACTATGCAACACTGAACTAATACACAAGCCCTTTGTATTATTTTTATTTGCATTCATTTTCCAAGCAGATAATTCCTTTGCAATGCAACTTATTTTATGAAGAGTTGCATAAGACATTTTCTTCATAAGTACTTTCATTAGCAATTGAGATTCAAGCAATTCACATTTTATAGTCATATAATGTTTTATCGTCACATATTATGTGTGCCCCTGGAGCACAAAAGCAGTCTTAAGTCGCTGGGGTATATTTGTAGCAATAGCCAACAATACATTGTATGGGTCAAAATTATAGATACTTCTTTTATGCCAAAAATCATTAGGATATTAAGTAAAGATCATGTTCCATGAAGATATTTTGTAAATTTCCTACTGTAAATATATCAAATCTTAATTTTTGATTAGTAATATGCATTGCTAAGAACTTCATTTGGACAACTTTAAAGATGATTTTCTTAATATTTTGATTTTAAGAAAATTTTCACCCTCAGATTCCAGATTTTCAAATAGTTGTATCTCGGCCAAATATTGTCCTATCATAACAAACCATACATCAATGGAAAGCTTATTTATCAGGTTTCAGATGATGCATAAATCTCAATTTTGAAAATTTGACACTTAAGACTGCTTTTGTGCTCCAGGGTCACATATATAAATTACGTTCTGATTGAATGAGCTGCATTTTATATGGATGCTTGTTTCTGCCATGGAATAAAAAAAATAAAAAAATAAATAAAACTAATTGTGACTTTATCTCACAATTTGGACTTCTTTCTCACAATTCTGAGAGATAAGTAAAAATTGTGAGATATAAATTCTGAATTCTAACTTTTTTCCCCACAATTTTATTTTCAAGTTTATATGTTGGAATTCAGTTTTTTTTTCTGCCACGGAATAAAAAAATAAAAAAGGTAATTGGTAAAAAAAAAAAAAAAAGGTAACTTTTTAACTCTTTCTGACTTGTTTCCCCCGCAATCGAGAGTTTATATGTTGGAATTTTTTTGTTTGTTTGTTTGTTTCTGCCACGGAATAAAAAATTTTTTTAAAGGCAATTGCAACTTTTTAACTCACAATTATGAGTTTTTATCTTATCTTGGCAATTCTGAGTTTATATCTCGCAATTCTGAATCTGTTTCTCTAAATTACAAGTTTATATCTTGCAATTAAAACTTCTCGTAATGTTAGAAACCACATAATGTTATACTACTAATAATAAAAACTACATTACATAACAAAGAGCAAAAGAATTGCATTCTCAGATTCAAATTTTGTTATATAGTGTTTTTAAGGTAACACTTTTGAAATAACTAACTAACATTAACTAACATTAACAATAAGCAATACATTTAATACAGTATTTATTAATATTTATATATGAAATAACATTCACAGATACAACTTTTACTCGTTTCTTCTCATGGTGAAGTGCTACGGCGTTTCGGCGCTGCCAGCCACCATGCTCGACCTGCAGTAAGTGTGTTAAATGTATGGGTTTGTCTTGCGCGTGAGGCTTTTTACAGCGCTTTTAACTGTAAATTTTGTGAGAATCTCCATCTCAAAAAAAATAAAAGGAGTCATTGAACCACATGAGCCCCAGTCCTCTAAGCTCGACGAGCGCTTCTTGAGCGGCCCTAATTCTTGTCCCACACAAAGAAAGCTGCCATTTTTCAATGATCTACATCACAAAATCTCCAGATCCTGGAAGCAGCCTTTCTCTGCTCGCCTTACTAACGCAGTGGCCGCTGATTTCACCAACCTAGTGGGTTCTGTGGCGCAGGGTTACCTCCTCCTCCGGCCTCTCCTCCCAACTAAGCCGAGTAGAACCACTTCCGACCAGAGGAAGCTCCTCAGGTTCGCCTTTGGGGAAAAGGCGTACCAGTACAGGGTTCTTCCCTTCGGTCTGGCTTTGGCTCCACGGATGTTCACGTAGTGCATGGATGTTGCTCTGGCCCCACTGAGGCTCCAGGGCATCCGTGTGCTCAATTACCTGGACAATTGGCTCATATTGGTCCATTCCAGGGAGTTGCTGAGTCGTCACAGAGACATTCTTCTTCACCACCTTCGATCTCTTGGCCTCAGGTTGAACGCTCAGAAGCGTGTTCTCACCCCTTCTCAGCAGACCATTTTCTTGGGGGTGCAGCTTGATGCCGTTTAGATGCAGGCCCGTTTAGCTCCTGCTCGGATTTCCGGTATCAAAACGTATTTGGCCCACTTCAAGCAAAGGCCATCATGTTTCGGTGAACACATGTCGCAGACTCCTGGGTCTCATGGCAGCAGCCTCTCCTGTGCTGCCCCTGGGGCTGCTTCATATGAGGCCATTTCTGTGGTGGACGAAGTTCAAAGGAGTTTGTCCCTCGTGGCCGGCCCTCCGCCTACCAAGAGTGTCACGCAGTTGCTTTCATGCCCTTTGACATAGCTGGACCCTATCTTTCTTCAGCAGGGGGTCAAGATGAGCGCTGTTTGTTTTCGCCAAATGATTACTATGGTTGCCTCCCTAACTGGTTGGGGCGCAGTCTTCGAGGGCAGACCGGCTTGTGGTGTCTGGACAGGAGAGTTTCTCTCGTGGTGCACATGTCGCAGACCCTGGTGCATTTCCTACCAATTCTGACGGGTTGTCATGTGATCATCAGAACGGACAACACTGCGGTAGTGTCTCACGGTCGCGCACCCTGGACAGGCATGCACGCCACCTCCTTCTTTGGACTCAGGACAGGTTTCTTTCGCTGAGAGTGGTTCACGTCCCTGGGACTCTGAACCTCGCAGCGGACTTCCTATCGAGGCAGAGACTCAGGTTGGGAGACTGGATGGTGAACCGCCAGAAGGTGGCTCAGATCTGGGATATTTTCGGCAGGGCGGTGGTAGATCTCTTTGTGTCACAGGAATCGACCCAATGTCCCCTTTGGTTCTCCCCATGTCACCCGGCACCTCTGGGAATAGATGCTTTCGCTCACCCATGCCCGGATCTGAGGCTGTAGGTGTTTCCGCCAATCAAGTTGATTCTGGCAGTCTTGTGCAGAGTGAGGTAGTGCAGATTCCGCCTCCTGTTGATAGCCCCGTTCTGGCCGTCCCAGACGTGGTTCTCGGAGCTAGTCTTCTTTCTAGAGTACACCCCACGGGAGATTCTGATCAGGAGAGACCTGCTGTCTCAACTCTAAGGCAGGATTTGGCACCCTTGGCCCGAGATTTGGAGGCTATGGGTGTGGCCGAACAAGGGTGATCGACTGTGACCTCTGGTCTTCCAGTGGATGTTCAGGAAACCATTGATAATGATAGGGCTCCTTCTACTAGGAGGCTTTATTCTTCCAAGTGGAAGGTTTTTGGACCCAATGGACCCCAGTCAGCTGTCCGATTGGTTCAGTGCTGGAGTTTCTGCAAGAGAAGTTTGCGGCTAGCAGCTGCTACCACCTTGAGAGTTTATGTTGCAGCTATCGCTGCTCGCAGGGATGCGGACGAAGTCTCCCTAGATAGACATTGTTTGGTCTCTTCGTTTATGTGTGGGGTTAGGCATTTGAGGCCGGTGCGCCCTGTCAGTGTTCCTTGCTGGGACTTGTCTATTGTCCTGGGGGGCTTATTGGATTCGCCATTTGAGCCTTTGGAGTCAACTCCTGAACGGATTCTGACCCTTAAGGTGACGCTCATGTTGGTGTTGGCTTCTATCAAACGTGTAGGGGATTTACAGGCTCTCTCTGTTAGCGAGTCATGCAAGGAGTCTGCTACGGGCTTTGTTAATGTATTCCTATGGTCCAGACACAGTTATGTCCCCAAGGTCTTGTCCACGTTATTTCTCTCCCAGGTGGTCTTGCTTCACTCCTTCTGTCCTCCTCCTTTTGCTTCTGTTGAGTACAAGAGGCTTCACCTTCTCTGCCCTGTTCGAGCTTTGAAGTTCTATGTGGATCTCTCTAGCCAATGGCGCAAGTCCTCCCAATTGTTGGTGTGTTTTGGTGCTGGCCGCAGAAGGCTTGCCGTATAAAAACATAGG